GAGACTCACTGGAACCTAGGAGTTGGAGGTTGCTGTGAGCTGTGATGCCACAGCACTCTACCCAGGGGGATACCTTGAGGCTCTGTCTCAAAAAAAAAAAAAAGTTTATGAACTGGTACCTCAAATATGAAACTGCCCTACTTCTGAAAAATCATTTCTTATCACTATGTAAATCTCTACACAGATTCACCAGGCCTGTAAACTCATCTGCAGAAAATGCAAACGCCATGTGACTGATGTAACAGGGCAAGTGGTGCAGGAGGGAACCAGGCGCTACAGACTGTGTAATGAGTGCCTTGCTGAAGTTGGCATCGACAGCCTCCCCATGGATTTGGAAGCTGAACAACATCTCATGTCCCGATCGGATGGAGATAAGGATTCCAGATGGCACTTGAATGAAGATGAGAATAGATCCTATGTGGAGATTGTAGAAGATGGCTCTGCTGATCTGGTCATCCAACAGGTTGATGACAGTGAAGAGGAAGAAGAAAAGGAAGTAAAGCCCAACATTAGGTAGCCGTGATGTGAACCAACAGAGCTTGCATGTCTGCAACTTCCATTGACTTCCTCTCTCTCTCTCTATGGGCAGAGTCTGGTTAACAAATTTATCATACTGACTTAAAAGAAATGAAGTGATAGAACTTGCATGCTTTCTAAACATCGTATCCACTCTGAACTTTGTTGCCCTAAAATATATTGCTGCATTGGAAAGAAAGACCTAGATTGATTTGGCATGATGGATGAATAATTATCCTCTTACTTTTATTGCAGAAATACCTTTTTCCTTTCCTTTTTTTTTTTTGACAGAGTCTCATTCTCTCACCTTGGGCAGAGTGCCATGGAGTCATAGCTCCCAGCAACCTCAAACTCTTGGGCTTGATCAGCCTTCTGAGTAGCTGGGACTGCAGGTGTCCCCACTACACCCAGCTAGTTTCTCTGTTATCTTAGTAGAAATGAGGTCTCACTGTTGCTTAGACTGGTCTTGAACTCCTAAGCTAAAGCAATCTACCCACCTTCACCTCCCAGAGTGATAGGATGGCAGGTTTGAGGCACCGTATCCGGCCCCTTTTTTTCTTTTAATACTGGAAGATGTACTTAGCACATTTTTTCAAAGGAAATATTTTAGATAAATTGATCCCAGCCAAACTTTATGTAAGGCAATTTCAAGATGTTTCAAAAATACATATACTTACCAATATTGAATTTCACGGGGAACCAGGGAAGAGCACATTTAAGGGTCTGGCAACCCACTGACTGAACTAATGAGTCTATTGACTTGAGATTTGATACAACCTATCATTATTCTGATATCCTAAATAGGATTATGGCAGAAGAATAAAATGTTTGAAATAGTTCATGTTGTAAATTTTTGTCATTAAGAAATAATACTTTAGGCTTGGCACCTGTAGCTCAGTGGCTAGAGCACCAGTCACATACACTGGAGCTGGCGGGTTCGAACCCACCCTAGGCCTGCAACAACAATGACAACTATGACCAAAAATATATATATATATCTGGGCATTGTGGTGGGCACCTGTAGTTCCAGCTGCTCAGGAGGCTGAGGCAAGAGAATTGCTTAAGCCCAAGAGTTGGAGTTTGTTGTGAGCTGTGATGCCACAGCACTATTACCAAGGGCGACATAGTGAGACTCTATCTCAAAAAAAAATCTATGTAGTCAATATTGTTTATTTAAAAAAAATAATTAAAGGAAGAAACCTAAAGTAGACGCTGAGCAAAAATTATACTCAGATTTCTTTTCTTTTTTTTTTTTTTTTTTTAGAGACAGAGTCTCACTTTGTTGCCCCCAGTAGAGTGCATGTCATCACAGTTCACAGCAACTTCCAGCTCTTGGGCTTAGGCAATTCTTTTGCCTCAGCCTCCCTAGTAGCTGGGACTACAGGCACCCGCCATAAGGCCAGCTAATTTTTGTTGCAGTTTGGCCAGGGCTGGGTTTGAACCCGCCACACTCGGTATATGAGGCCAGCGCCCTAGTCACTGAGCCACAGGTGCCACCCAGATACGTTTTTTTTTAAAGCAGGAAACAGTTACCGCCTACAAGTCAATGTAGTTTGTGAAAAAGATTTGTCAATATGGTTTCCTTCTCTAAAAAAAAACAAACAAACCAGTTCTTACCAGGATGTAAGAGTAATTTTTTTTTTCTTTCTCTCTTTCTTTTTTTTTTGGAGACAGACTCTCACTCCGTTGCCCTGTATTATCATAGCTCACAGTGACCTCAAACTCTTAGGCTCAAGCAGTCCTCATGCCTCAGCTTCCTAAGTAGCTGACCACAGGTACATGACACAACACCAGGCTAGTTTTTTCCTATTTTTAGTTAGAAATGGAGTTAGAAATGGGCTCTCACTCTTGCCCAGACTGGTCTCAAACTCCTGAACTCAAACAATCTGCTCGTTTACACCTCCCGGAATGCTAGGATTACAGGTGTGAGCTAAGGTGCCTGGTCTATAATTTCTAATTTATATAGTGCTATATTATCTAGAAAGTGCTCTCTCACATATTTTATCTGTTAATCAATAAGGTAGATACTATCTCTGACTTACAAATGAGGAAATTAAGGTAGAAAGTTCAAGTGTAAAACTGATGACAAGTTCTGACTTCTTGAGGGGGTGGTGTTCTGATTTTAAACAGTCCTTTTCCTCTGTGTCTCCTGGTACATCTCCTGAAATGGCAGATAGTTCAAATCAAATTTCACAAATCTGTAGTAATAAAGTATGAACAAAGAATGGTTTTTTTTGAGACAGAGTCTCACTATGTCAACCCTTGGTAGAGTGCAGTGGCATCACAGCTCACAGCAACCTCCAGCTCTCGGGCTTAAGTGATTCTCTTGCCTCAGCCTCCCCAATAGCTGGGATTACAGGTGCCCACTACAATGCCCACCTATTTTTAGAGATGAGATTTTGCTCTGGCTCAGGCAATCTTCCCCCCAACCCCTGCCTTGGCCTCCCAGAGTGCTAGGATTACAGGTGTAAGCCACCTCACCTGGCCATAAACAAAGAATTTAATAATTTTCAATAATGTGTCTTCTTTTTTGAGATAGAGTCTCACTTTGTCACAGTGGGTAGAATGCAGTGGCATCATCATAGCTCATAGCAACCTCACACTCCTGGGCTCAAGAGATCCTCTTGCCTCAGCCTCCCCAGTAGCTTGAACTATAGGCACGCACCATTGAGCCAAATTTTTCTTTTTTTTTTTTTTTTTTTGAGACAGAGTCTCACTATGTAGCCCTCAGTAGAGTGCTGTGGCATCACAGCTCACAGCAACTTCAAACTCTTGGGCTTAAGCGATTCTCTTGCCTCTGCTTCCCAAGTAGCTGGGACTACAGGTGCCTGCCACAATGCCTGGCTATTTGGGCTGGTTTTGAACTCCCAAGCTCAAGCAGTCCTTCCACCTCAACCTCCCAGAGTGTTAGGATTACAGGCGTGAGTTATAGTGCCTGGTCATTAATAATATATCTTCATCTAGACTTATTCAAATAGTAAGGTCCCTGTGGTACCTATTGATATGTTTTATGTCAAGTTATTTATATATACATTTATAATATTATTTGAACAAATTACTCATTTGAATGCTTTGAGCATTTTTGTTTCTCTTATTTGTATATTTTCAATCCAAACTTTTTTCTTAGGATACAAAATGAATTTTAAATTCCTCCTCAGTATGAATTATGAAACATTCTAAAATTACAGCTGAATTTAGGAAGTATTTATTTTAGTTCTAAAGATAAAATCACCAAAAGTGAAGAACTGAACTTCATAAAGTTCTCTGCAAGTTATCACAATGAAGCTTGATATAATTTAGTTGTGACCTAGAGAGACTCCATGTATTTTTCTGTGTTTTTCAATGCCATGACATACCTCACCATGATACTTTTTCTGCTGTTACTTTCTTTCAGTCTTTCATCCATGATTGTCCTTGATACCAATTTGTGGGCCAAAATGGTTAATATAAAAAGATCTTTTTTATAAACAGATGAACAACTACTTTGTTTTATGGTACTTAATCGTGAGACTTTTTTCCCCCAAGATTCCCCTGGTGGCAAATTTCCAGTTGTTCCAAGAATGGATGAAGTACATTGGGTTCATTCTTCTCAAAGTAGGACCCTTCCTAAATCAGGATTCCTAACAATTGAGTTGTATCTGAATGAGGGAGGTAACACTCGTCATTCTGTCCTCTTACCAGAATGATACTAACACTTTTCAAAATTATAACCTGGTTTTCAGTTGTTGGGCCAATAGGAGAAATGGTTGATTTGAGCTTTATTCCTAAAAGTGAAGTAGTGCTTGCATGCGTATACTCTAATGCACTTTAGTCTATGATCTAAATGTCCCTTTATGCTACTTTCTTCTGCATGCACATTTTGCATACCTCAGCATGAATGTCAACAAAGTCCCCTGAATGCAGTGCCACCAGCAGTCGCAGTTGCCTTTCCAGAAATAATGCTTTCTCATAATTGTTTATAACCAGCATCAAACAATCTCTACAACACAGCTATCAAGTTCACCAAAGTAGACAGAGCATCTGTTCTACCATTTTAGCATCACAAACAACATTTAAGACATGTTTGTAAATTGTAAATAATGACTCCAGTTATCGTATGTATCTAAGACTTTAGAGACCAATTATTTTCCAGCGTGAAACTGTCTATTGATGATTTCTGAGAAAATTGAATTTTTTGGCTTTTGAATGTAAGAAAATGTTACATAGCTGTATAATCTGTTGGAATAAGCTTTATTCATGCCAAGGACTTTTTTTTTTTAACATCAGAAAAATAATTGGAGTTGGTTAAACCAAAGTTCGCTCTTAGAGGAATACTGTTTATCCGTTTCTGAATGCCCTTCTAAGTCTATTGTCCTCAAGAGAGTCTGGTTGATGGGGTGAAGTTTCACAAAAATAAAGCGCCACTGCAGTCATCCCTGGTAGCTTAGCCAATGGAAGCAAAATGGATTAGAACAGCAGTTTAAAAGACTTTTTTTTTTTTTTAACCCAAGAAACTCTTCAAATGAATTGTTTCATAGAGAGACTCAACATTAAGGGATGAACTCTAAAATCAGGGAAGCTCTGGTTAAAGGCCTGGATGAATCTTTCCCCAGTCACTTCTGCACAACTCAAGAGCACAACATTGAAAACCATGGGACTAGCTAACTTCACGAATTGCATCTGAGCATGGTGGCTTCAGAAATCACTTCGTTGCTCCTGTTACTATGCTTAGAAGCAGCTCTTAGTGAAACAAATCATAAAATCATATTCTTAGCATATGACATTCCTCCCATAGTTATCAGATCTTAAGATTTTTTTTTTTTTGAGACAGAGTTTCAAGCTGTTGCCCTGGGTAGAGTGCTGTGGCATCACAGCTCACAGCAACCTCAAACTCATAGGCTTAAGCAATTCTCTTGCCTCAGCCTCCCAAGTAACTGGGACTACAGGCACCCACCACAATGCCTGGCTATTTTTTGTTTAGCAGGCCCAGGCTGGGTTTGAACCCACCAATCCCAGAGCATACGGCTGTCACCCTAACCACTGAGCTACAGGCACCCAGCCAGATCTTAAGATTTTTTTTTTTTGAGACAGAGTCTCACTATATCACCCTCAGTAGAGTGCTATGGCGTCACAGCTCACAGCAACCTCAAACTCTTGGGCTTAAGCAATTCTCTTGCCTCGGCCTCCCAAGTAACTGGGACTACAGGCGCCTACCAGAATGCCCAGCTATTTTTTTGTTGCAGTTGTCATTGTTGTTTAGCTGGCCTGGGCCAGGTTAGAGCCCACCAGCCTCAGTGTATGTGGT